GGGAGTCTGCTTCTCCCTCTCCCGCTTCCCCCTCTTGTGCTCTCTCTCTCTCAAATAAATAAATAAAATCTTAAAAAAAAAAAAGACATGCAGAATGCAAAACTGAAAGACATTTTACATCATAATAACAGAACTTTGGTTTTTAAGCTTTTTTTAACATAAATTTGTAGTAAGCACATTTCCCTTTTCTGATTTACTTGTGCTCTGGAGCCAGACCTCCTTGATGTCATTTCCAAATCTAACACGTAATAGCTGTGTGTTCTTCTGTAGGTTACTTACCTCTTGTGCTTCAGTTTCCTTGTGTGTGAAAGGGGATAATAGTATCTGCCTCAGAACACCCCCAGGAGGATAAAATACATTAGCATCTATGAAAGGCTTGGATATTACTGGCTCCTGTAAGAGCTATGTTAGTGTTAGTTACTATTGTCATTATTACTGAAATATTCCAGTTAATCTATTTCGTGTATTAAAAAAAGCACAGGTCTCTTGTTCTTTGCCTGATTAATCCCAGCCCAATACTCTTCACCTGGCTAATCATTCTTCAGATCTCAGCTAAATTTATAATAGAGAAAAGTTAGAACAACTCAAATGGGCTGACCTCAGCAACAGAATGGTTAATGATAAAATTTTTAACAAAATTTTGGTATATCCATGCAATGAAATACCATGCATGCTAATTTCGAGTAACTTCTATGTTTTGAATGACATGAAAGAATATAAAGTAACAAAAATAAGATACACTAGTTCAAGAAAGAAGAGTAAGTGACAATAGTAAAATACAAAACCACGTACAGAAACCTGGGTCATTTTTATTTTCTTATTTATGCTTTCCTATGTTTTCTAATTTTTGTAGAGTGGTGATGTCTATTTTCTATGAAAAAAAAAAACCCAGAACTCAGGCATTACCTTTTTTGACATTTCACCACCACCTTCCAAAGCAGGTATCCGCAATGCCTGAAACAGTGCCCAGAATATAGTAGACACTCAATAAAGTTTTATTGAATTATTTTTCTTCTCTTGTTGGATATTCTCTGTGACCAAACAGGAAAGAGCTTGAAACAGGTATAAAAGCACTAAAAAGCACTGTTGGAAGGCAGAAAGATGCTTCCTAAAGAATACTGAAAGTTTTCCAAACACTGGTGAGGCTTTAACCTTCTCTCAGGAATTTAACATCCCTAAAGTCACTGACCTCCACCCTTGACCGCAAAGAGCAGGCTGTGGTGGGTGATGAAGACCCATTTCCTCTTTAAGAAGAGCGAGTCTGCTGGCTTGAGGAGTGGAGTGATTGTCTCTGATGAACTGCTTCACTCACATCCCTGTCCTACAGACTCCATCCTGAACCCTGACACTTTGGATAATGATGTACTTTTTCTTCAATCTATAATCCAGTTTCTGCTCCCATTTCCCCCAAGTGACTTGGCTATCACATTGGCAAGACCAAAGGATTTATCTGTATTGGTTTCTTATCTTGGCGAAGTGACCCTCCACCTAGCTTACTTGGGCTTTCCAATCTCAATATTTGCTCACAAGGACTTCTCTACTTTTGGGCATTCCACATCCTAGAGGTTAGTGCTCTTGGCCCTGACACCCAGTGGTCTCCCCAATGCCCATGCATCTCAGTACTCTCCTTCTAGGGGCTCACAGAATGTCAGGATTGATGATGTCTGTTTCCTGCCCCTCCGCAGCTTTGTACTCTCTTTGGAAAGTCTGGTACCTTCTGAGACTTCCTACATGCGCAATCTCAGAGGGTCACACCTGTAAAGGAAGTTTGGTTATCTCTGACCCAGGAGTTGGAAGATTTTGGTTATTGACACACATCCTGTGTGACCTTGATTAAGTCTTTGAACTTCTCTGAGTTTGTATTCCTAATCTGTATAATGGCAAAACAGATCAGGATCAAATAAAACCATGGATGAGGAGATGCTGGGGGAAATCAAAAGTATCAGGACCTTTGCAAGGTCCTATTACTGCTGTGGCTAGTGGTCCTGCTTGCAGCCCTGGGAAGTGGGAGCACAAAATGAGAAAAGAGATGTGAAAGCGCCCAAAATGGAATTATGAGCACAGTGCTAGTCAAGGGTATAAAAGGGGAAACCTCTATGTTACCACGAGTGAGGGGAAGTGAAGGGCTTCCCTGCTCAGGAGTGAGGAGGTGGCCACAGAGACCTGTGGGACCATGGTTGACTCTTGCTGCCACTTCTCACAACCCTAAGCTGGAAAGAGTTGAGTCTAGAATAGTATCCTTGATGATAAAACTACTGGGTATGTGGGTGGAGGGCAGAAGAAAGAAGAGAATTACCCCATCGAGGGTGGGGAATCACATTTTGGATAGAGTTTTTCAAAATGATCAGTTTATTCTTACTTCATTTAGCTAAATGGAGTTCACACCCTGAGTCCATGTTACCCGTCACCTCCCCTCCCATTAAAACTGGTAGTTGGGCTGCCTCTGCACACCTATTAAGCAAGTGTTTATTAGATACCTACTGTGTACACAGAGATAAGCATAATATGGTTTCTGCATTAAGGAGCTCCATTTTTAGTGAAAGAGACAACCAAATATGTTATAGGTGATATGATGGAGGGAGCTCTTGGGGGGGGTGCTGTAGGAGCATAGAGGGAGATACAGAATTCAGTTGGAAGAGAGGTTGGGGAAGGTTTTTAAAGATGAACGATTTTTTTTTGTTGTGTCTTCAAAAGGAATTTGTTCCCATTCTCTATCGACTATTACTTCGAAATAGCCTCAGCGTATAAATCTCAGAGGCCACTGACTCAGCTTAACATATTGATATAAGCCTTTATACTTTTGGTGTGGAATTTCACTGGTGTGAACACAGCATTTTTGCTGACACCTTCACAAACAAAACATTTTACCTCCATGAGCCAAAGATCAAATCAAGGCTAGGAAGCCAAAGTCAACAGTCAAACTTATTGTGTGGCTCAATGCAGACTAATTATCCATTCTTATCTATCATCATTGTCCCATTGTTCCAGAGCAGACACATTCATAATCTCTCCACAGCTTGAAGATCAGCCCACCCCACTCATTTAGACAGAGGACTCCATGTCAAGTGTTCCTTATTAGTGAACAGTGGAGTTTAGACTTGACTGGGGACCATTCATTGACAGCTAAGGGATGGACTTCTCCACCCTTTGGGCTCTCTGACATTTTGTTTCTACCTCTAATGTGACACTTATCTTATTCCATCTCATGGCATTGTTATTTCTGTTACCGTCAACACCATCACTAGACTAAGAACTCTTTGAGTGCAAATTTGGGGCTTCATTCAGCTCTGTCTGCCCTGACAAACAGCAGATGATTGCTCAATTGAGTTGAATGGAAATGCCATGAATAACAAAGTCCATAGATTTGGGGGAATGTAAGACATATCCTCCTTCCCTTAAAGCAAGGTGCTTGATGCATGAACATGAAACTTCCTCAACCAGGAGAGACCATGAGAGATACTAGCATATGTGATACAAGGGATTGCAGAAACTTAGAGCTGGAGATAGAGGTCCATGTAAAGATTGGAACATTTGAAGCAAGACTTGCACCAAAAAAAAAAAAAGGACAAAGAGAGGATGGAGGAGAGAAGTAGAGTTTGTGCGTATGTAGGTGGTGGTGGTTGGGGAGTGACGAGGTAGGATAACATTGAACTTTATTTAGTAGCCCCGAAGTACTCCAAAATGCTGCCCTGATTCCTCCTAGCCCACATTTCTATAGCACCCAGGGGGCCTGGCTCTCCCCTTTCCCTCTTCATTCTTCTTTCTCGGGGCGGAGGCAGGTAACCATGTGAGGCTGGGGGTGAGCAGATGGGTCAGCGTGGGTGAGCTGACAGTGGCTAGAGATCTTGATCCAACCACTCTAACTGCCCCACGTGTCCCACTCTATGCACTACTGTATTCCTGGTCTTTGTAAACTTCAGGTGGTCACCCACAGGTCAACAGCAGCTTCCCAACCAGGCAGAGCTTTCCATGAATGCAAGGAATTCCCTACGGATGGCTGGGCAACTACCATGTGCTCAGATTACACATTTTATCCATAACGTGGATAAGCTCATTGCTAGGTATATCCCATCCCATTTTTACACTAGAGGAACATTCTTTATTTGGGTCTTCCAAACTTGATTCTTCCTGAGCTTTTTCTCCTTTTCTATTATCAGTCAAGTAAACATACTGAAATCTTTATTTCTTTTCTGTTCCCTTCTTGTTTGAGAACAGACTGACCCAAACTCCTTTCCTGATTTCAGCCCTAATAAGATGGGTCTTTGTGTGTGTTATTGGCCCTAGTGGCCAACATTTTCTCTCTTTGTGGTCACATTCTATATTTGTACTGGAGGCAATGGGGTGGAAAAAAAACAGATTTTAGCATCAGATGAATCTCAGTTCAAATCTTGGCACTGCCACCTAACAGCCGTGTGGCCTGGAGATAGTGAATCTTGCTGTGTGATCCTCATGGCCCCAGGGGAAGAATCCCAGTCCTGCTCAGGGGTATGGTAGGGTTCAATGCCATGTGTATGTGGCAGCTTGCCCAGTGCCTGGCCCCTTGTAAATCTCCAATAGGTAGAAGTTGTAAATGTTCCTGAGCTGCCCTGCTGGGTCCTCTGCACATTCAATGCTGGACTCTCTCTTTACGTCCAAGAAAATGTACAGGGCACCAAGGTCACTCAGTTCAGCAGAAGGAGTCCCAGAAATGGGACATGGAGACCTGGCCACCCCTTCCTGCTTAAGGCCAGGCAGCCCTGGAAAGACTGATGTGAAGCCTCCAGCTTCTGGAGGCGCCAACCACCGAGAGCAGCACAGTCCTCATCTACAAGCCTCTCTGGCAGGTGTGAATGTTTCATCCTTCCTCTTGGGTTTGCAACTCTCTCCACAGTCCTGATCACTGCCTTTGGTGTACCACTTCCCTCTGTGGTGCGGCCCACTTCTCCACTGCCCCCCTCCTCTGTGATGACATGGCCCTGAGGAAGAGAAGCTGTGAAGGGCTTCTCACTGTCAGCTAGCTTTAGTTTCCGTATTGGCACCATGACATCATCTCTACCCTGGAAATTCCATTTGCCCTCCTGTGCCTCCAACGCTGTCCGAGGCCTCAGGGTTCCTATAAAGAGGGGTTCCCAAATCAGTTTCAGCACAGAACACAGTCGGGTTCTGAAGCTTCTGGGCTCTGCAGTCTCAGCTCCAGGAAAGCCTCTCCACTGCCAAGACCATGAAGCTGTGTGTGACTGTCCTTCCTCTCCTTGTGCTCATGGCTGCCTTCTGCTCCCCGGCGCTCTCAGCACCAAGTAAGTCCGCTCTTCCAGCCGCTAACTTCTAGAGTCATGGTGTAGGCAGTGCTGACTTTTCTAGTTGGGGCTGATCTAACAGTGAATCTAGGGATTGGACAGAAGGGAGACAGAAGATTTCCAAGTAGCCTGCTCTTAAATGTAGAATCTAGTAGACATTCAGTAATGACTAGTCAAGTTCCTGTTTTCTTAAGAAATGGCAACCAGTAGACTCATTTAAGCCAGTTCCTGACTCTTTCTGTGCCTTGGTTTCCCCATCTATAAAATGGTGGGAGTTAGACACATGCCCTGAGACTCAGTCCAGCTCCAATCTTCTAGAATTCTTTCATGGCTTTCTCTTATGATCTTCTATTCAGAATAATACTCCTACTTAGGGTGAGTGGGATTGGATACAAGGGACCATATTTTGGGATCTGGTCGTCCTACAGAAATGGTCACTGAATATCTATGATTAGAAGCCAAAATTAACAGGTTGTAGAGCTTCTATCTCACCCCTGCCTTTCTTTCCAGTGGGCTCAGACCCTCCCACCGCCTGCTGCTTTTCTTACACCCTGAGGCAGCTCCCTCGCAACTTTGTGACCGATTACTTCGAGACCAGCAGCCTCTGCTCCCAGCCAGCCGTGGTGTGAGTATCAAGCCTGGGGCTGCTCTATGAGGCAAGGGTGAGGGCAGGATTAGAAAAGGGGCCCTCTGGGGGAAGATGGAACCAAGCAGTAGGGAGGCAAGTCTCAGGGCTGAAGCCCTTCCAGAAGTCAGTGAGGATCAAGTCATGAAGTCACCTGGAGTCCAGAGGGGGCTGGGTAGGATCCAAGGGAGAGGAAGGGGGTTTCTGGGAGAGGAAGTTAGCCAGAAGCCAGGAAACCAGGGAAAGTAAAAAAGATGACAGGAGATGTGGGCTGATTTCCTAAACCATGCTTAGAAACACACACAGAAACGTCATTGCTAGGGGCAATAGAGAATGAGTAGGGTGATATACCCATATTGATTGCAAAACTCATTTGTTCCTAATCTGGGCAACACAGGAGGTGGAGCTAAATCCAGAGTAGATGTTATAAGGAGTCCTGTTCTAGCACCAGCCCAGGAAGGGTTTCCCCATCTATTAGAGCTGTCCAACATGAACCATGGTCAAGCAGAGGAAGATACACACCTTCCACAGGCAAGGTTCCATGGGATTCTAATCTGTCCATTCCTTGTCCCACAGATTCCAAACCAAAAGGGGCAGACAAGTGTGTGCTAACCCCAGTGAGCCCTGGGTCCAGGAATACATGAATGATCTGGAACTGAACTGAGCTGCTCCAGCTCCAGGTGCAGGAGGTCTCCAGGGAACGTCACCTGAGCCCGACGCTTCTCACGAGACGCACCTTCTCCATACTCGTGACTCTTCTTAGTAGCCCATTCCTTCTCTTAATTTAATCTTATTTTGTGCTGTGTTATTGTATTTGGAGTTATTTCTATTATTTGTTTTGTCAAAGCACACTTGTCCCCCATGGGGATAGTCGACCATCACTGTTTCTCTGCTATTGTAGATGTATGGATGATGCAACTGATTCCATATGTTTTCAAAATAAAACTTCTTAAAAATTGTAGACAATTTCTTTGCATTTTAATTTGATTAGGGTTGAAGGGGATTGCCTTGTATTATGACTGGGACAAACTACCGTTTCCAAACACAATAAGAACGAGCAATTATGGAGTGCTTACTATGGGCTAATATGTCTAAAGACATGATCTCACTTAACATTTTCAATGGGATTTTAACACCCTTCTAAAGTCCCTACTGGTTATCTCCAATTTTACAGAGGAGGAAACAGAGGCAGAGATGTGACATGCCTTGCTAAGGCTTGTAGGTCTGCTGGGGGAGCATCATGAAAGGATGGCCCTATCATCACTATCTGATGGCCCCTCTCTGGGGCCAACAGACAATTCTGTCCCTTGTCCTGCACTTAGCCACCCCCATTATCCCAGAGCCTGACTAGGCTTGGCTTTTGCTTTTCATCTGCCTACATCTGGGCTGTCCAATATATTAATCACTAGCCACAAGTAGCTATTTAAATTTTTATTAAATTTAATGAAAATTAAATAAAATTTACAATTCATTTCCTCAGTTGCACTAGTCACAGTTCAAGTGCTCATTAGCTACATGTGTTTCATGACCGCCACGTTGGACAGTGCAGATATAAAGCATTTCCATCATCGTGGAAAGTTCCATTGGATGGCACTGTCCTAAAAGCACAGAGGCTAAAGTAGTGAAGGGAGGGGGGGTTGGAAGTAGGGTGGAAGGTAGGGTGTGGTCTTTGATGAAAGATACACATACTCGATTCTGAGGGGAGGGGTTGAGAGAGAAAATGGTTAATCCCCGGGCCTGAGACAAGGTATAGATCACCATGGTAGACAGAATAATGGCCCCCAAGATGTCCACATCCTAATCCCCAGAAGCTGTGAAGATTTCCTTGTATAGCAAAAAGGACTTCGCAGATGTGATCAAGTAAAGGATCTTGAGGTGGAGAGATTTTCCTGGATTATCTGACCGGACCTTAAATGTAGTCGTAAGTGTCCTTATAAGAGGGGGCAGTGGGAGATTTGGCTACAGAGAAAAGAAGGCAATTTGACAGCCGATACTACGCTGCCGGCTTTGAAGATGGAGGAAGAGCCCGCGAGCCAAGAAATGCAAGAGTGCCGTTCTAGAAGCTGGAAAAAAAACAAGGAAATGGCTTTCCCCGTAGAGCCTCCAGATGGAGTGCAGCCCCGTTGATACCCTTGATTTCCGGATTTGGAGTTCTGAACTCCAGAACTTTAAGAGAACAAATGAGTGTGTGGCGCGAGCCAAGCTACTCATGCTGTTTGACAAAGTCCAAGTATGGGGGACAATCCCGAAAATCAGGAGACTCCACAGCTGGCTCCTGCCACTTCCTTTCATTTTATTTGTGGCAACCTTTATAATCATGGGATTTTTTCTGGGGTTTCATGATAAAATGATTTATAAATTTAGTTATGCCTATGTAAGCAATCACAATGAAACTGATTCCAAAAAGGCTGATGATGGGCCAAGAAGTAAAAATACCCAATGTCCTCCAGTCCGTAATTCATCTAACATGAGCAATGCGGAGCTCTTTAATAAGTTTCACTTAAGGGAGCTGTTGGATCCAGGCCTAGTAAAAGTCCCTATTGATGAGATTCCTCAGGCACCTCTGAAACATCAGAGTTCTAGGAAAGGAAAATCTCATGTCATTCCCACAGTACAGGGACCTCCCCATGTTACTTTGATAGGATAGGGTGCACACACTGTAAGTTGCCTTGGGAGCAAGAATAAACTTTAGATAATCTTTAAGCAAGAGTAAAAATATAACTTTTTCCACATTAGCACACAATAGCAGATAGGTTACGCTTCGTCTCGCACGGTCACGCGCTGTCTGGTACTTTTGTTTTTAAATCCAAAATGATTTAAGATGATTGTGATAAGATGTAAAAAATAAAATCATATGTAATGAAAGAATGGAAAAAACAAGGAAATATTGTAATGTATGAATAAAGTCCCTCCGAGGCTATCGGGAGGAGATGCTCGCAACCTGATCCTGTGCCCGTGTCTCCTCACTCGCCGACGCCGTCCTTTCCTTCAAGGACCCTTTCCCTGCTGGAGCTGGACTCCGGCAAGTGTGGTTTTAGGGCATCAAGTTTGTATTAATTTGTTACAGCAGCAATGGAAAACTGATACAATCACCAGCTGAAGAGTCACCCCCTCCTCAGTGTGGAAGGGAATGGAACATTCTAGAAGATGAGACCAATTTCTCTGCAGGAGAAACTCAAGGTGCAGTGGACACATTCCAAGGCAATGCACTATAATGAAGTGAGGCATCTCAAGAGGAAGGTCTGCTCCCACAGCTAAGTATGAAGGCTGAAGCTTCACGAAGGGTACACCGCCCCCAGCTCGTTTACGAGGAAGCCTGACTCTTCTTGAGACACTCTGGCCTTCTGCGGGGTGGGGGTGGGGGTCTTGGGTTCCTATCTGGAGGAGTCCATCCTCTCATTTGTCAAATGAAGCCCAGAGCAGAGCCACAGTTTGTCTCTGGTTTCACCATTAGAGAGGCAGAGTTAGGGCCAGAATCTGGGTCTCCTCGCTCACACGGAGCCCTTTGCCCCACACCTCCTTGCCCCTGCGCAAATTGCAAGGGAAGAATTATGCTCCTCAGAGGCCAGAGCTCCAGGGAAGGCAGCCGGAGACCCGAGTACTCTAGTGAAGAAGCGCTTCAGCCTGGAATTCCCAAGGACAGCGTGAAATCCTCTCCATAAGGTAATGTGGGACTTCACCTGTTGCGAAATAAGAGACTTGTTCTTCCTGTCTCCTTTCTTCATGAAACTTCCTTTTCTTAGCCTGAGGCCAGGGAGTTGGTATCTGACTTTCCACTTATTTTGCCCGGTTTCTGGGTAGAGACCAGAACTGGAACAGATGAAGAAGGACAGGAGACAAGAGCTACAGTTTGTGGAGCAACTTCTGGAAAAATGCAGCCCCGTGTGTTTCTCTCTTGCACTGTCTGCGTCCCCCATGTCCCTCTCCAGATGGGGGTGGAGGGGTATGTTCCTTCATGTTCTGGTTCATGCAAATTCTATGTTCTCTCCCCATCCCACTCCAACCCAGAGTCTTCGGTTATGCTCCCATGACATAGGCATTTTCCTCCTAGGAGACCAGGAGCTGACCCAGCAGAAACAGTGACCGAGGATGTAAAATGAGCCACAGATGGTGGAAGAAACCACAGTTCTTCCTGATGGCTGAGCCCAGCCGCCCCATGGTGGTTCTGAGCTGCTTTCCACACACACCTTTCACAGACCTGAGGACCTTGTCCTCTCTCTTTTCCAGTTGTCTCCCTCCGTCCTCCCTTCTAAACGCTTCTCCTCTTGGGTTCCCATTGAGTCCAGGCAGATAGGAAAATGGAAAAAGGTGTAGGAATTGAGACACGAATTTGTGAATGCATTTTTCTATATTTTAAGTAGTTTCATTTTTAGATATATGAAAATTGTGTGAAATATATACATTCAGAAGAAAAGAGAAAATCACATTTTTTTTTTAGGGGAAGACAGGTTTGATCCCAGTAGGATGGTCTGGGGACTCCCCACTTAGCCAGCTGAGCCATCCAGGCACCCCTACACTTCTGGCTTTACAAAGTTCTTGCCAGCTGGACAACTTTAATTCCAACATAAAACACTTCCTTGAGCTTTGCAAATGCTATCTTCTCCTCCCCATTACTCAGTTCCCTATACAAAGGGTTTCTAGAAACATCCTTGGTAAATTCCATAAGCCTGCCTGGCGACTGCGATGCTTGTAAATTTCAAAGTCACAGACTTTGAGGTACAAAAGTGTAACTTTATTTTTTCCATAATTGAACCCAACCCCTCAGCGCCTGTTTCTTTTGATGGTAGAAAGTTTAATCTGGCCACAAGGTAAGCACAATTACTTCCTGATGTTTTTTCCGGTTGAGAGTCTTCCATGAGCCATACTTCTTCCCGTTCTCTCCTCCCATTCTTCCCAGGGTCCATCGTCATTCTGGAGCACTGGTGTGGTTAGGCTCATCACCCTGGAGGGTGCAGGAATCTAGCTCCCTGTTGTCCCTTGGCCTCTGCTGACATCTGCAGAGGTGTGTCTCAGCCCTCTGGCCACTGGGCATCAGACCCTCTGCGGGGTCCCTTGTCTTGTCATGGCCTCTGGGGGCAGGTCCATGACTCTGTCCTTTCTGTCTCACCCTAAGCTCCTCTGAGCCCACAGGGCTTGGGACTTCTTGGGAAGGCTGCCAGCCATCTTGGACTATGCCTCCCTCCCCTACTCCTCTTCCCAGTCCAGCTCCCCTCCCCCTCCCCTACAGTCCAGCCTCTTCCTGGGCAGTGCTGGGCCCTATTAGGATCATTCTCAGATGGCTAACTCTTAGTCTCATGCCTTTCACTTTATTCTGCTAATAGTGTCTATCTTGTTTTCTCTCCCAGGATGTGGGAAACTAGCTCTTAAATCATGAACTTTAAAAATACATCTATCATTTATGATAGTAACCCAGTTTCCTCTGGGGCTCGGCCTTGCAAACACACTCCCCCCCCACACACACACACTCAAACCCCTTTCTCTCAGAAAGCCCAGATCTTGAAATGGAAAGTCTGTGCTTTCAGAACTATTATGTCAATTAGAGTTTTAAGAAAAACCCACTGAGGAACTCAGTGGGCTTGTCTCTCTAAGCGGTGTCCACTCTCCCCCGAAGGCAGTGAGTCTAGGTTATAATTCACTGCTTTCCCTACAGGGGAATGGGAGTGAGTGTAAGGAAGTGAGGAAGGGAGGGAAGACACCTGGTAATTCCTCAAAATATTATGTGTCATACACTTAAAGTAACGTGGACAGGCAAACAGGCCCGCCTGTATTAAAGAGACGTCCTTGGCTGAATCTGTGCTGGATCTGTGCCATTTGACTTTAAGTGTCATCATCTCTGACCTAGCCAAGTCTTGTGCTCTGTAACAAAATGTCTTGGTGTTCACCCTCGGGTTGTCATGCCGAAGGACAAAACTGCACCATGAACAAGGCCTGGGACTGGTGGGCTGAGTGTGCAGTTAGGTGTT